TTAAAACACTGTAAACAACCATCAAAATGCAATCCTAAAATCCAGTGTTTTGAAATCCGGATCAGACTGGGCCGGTTGAACCGGTTAAACCGCGAACCATTGCCTTATCCGGTCCGGTTTGACCGGTTAAACCATAATATCGGAACCCGAGTAAAAATCGAGTGTTTTTGCCAAAAATTGTGTTTTCTCTTAAAAAATAAACAAATAAAATGACCAAAACGACGTCTTTCTACTGCCCAGTTGAAAAAAAATTAAATCAATTTTTTTTTTTTGGTAATTGGAAGACATTGTTTTTTATCATAATTTCTATAATATTTGAAATGATTCCGTGTAATATGTGTGTGTTTATATGTTATGTGTAAAAGAAAAATAAGGGTTATTTACGTTTTAATTGGGAAATCAGTTAATGTGCATGAAAGAAAATATCTTTATTTACTATAAAAATTATGTATAAATAATTATAAAATAAAAAATAGAAAAACCAGTTGGACCCAGTTGATCCTGTCCAACCGTGACCCAGTAGCTTGTTCGGGTCAATGTTCGGTCCGGTTTTCAAAACATTGCTTAAATCTCAATGACTAGAGAAAGTAAAAATCAATTCCACATATTGGCATTAATCTCAATGGTTTTACACATACTATACAAAAACCTCGGATGAACTCACCTAAGCAACGCCCCTCTTGTCACAACAAAATTTTTCGGACAAGGATTCCAACGAAGGAGCCAGACCAAACATGGACAATGCTAAATTTCCGAGATAGAAAATCCCCTTCAACGGACAAGCTTTTAACAATTAACGTAGTTTACAATATACCTCACATTGAATGACGACTGTCGTTCTTGATTTTTGGGGTTCGTTCATCTTGGATCTCTTCTAGTTCTTCGTCATCACCTCTTTGACCGGCCTGTTCTTTCCAATAAGCCACCAACTTCTTTAACCGAGCTACTTCTTTCGACGACACATTTTTACTTGGGTCGTTCACAATCGATCGGACTCTAGATGCATACCTGAAATCGTTCAAAGATTAAGTTAACTTTGCAATCATTGAATATATATGTATATATATATATATATATATATATATATATATATATATATATGAGAGAGAGAGAGAGAGAGAGAGAGAGAGAGAGGGGGGGGGGGAGTGGGGTGCATACGTTAAAGAGTTGTAAGTCTCGTCGAGATTTGATTCAGCTGGAGATATGTTGACAAACATCAACGTTTTAGCATTGCCACCCAATGAATCACTCATGAGCATGGTCAACTTGTGATTTCTGTACGGGATGTGTTGGTTTCCGGAAGATAAAGCTCCAATGACATCACCTATGGCTGAAAGTGACTTATTAATGCTTTGTGCTTCCTTCAATTGGTTACCCGAAGAACCTGACTTCTTTACTCTTTCAGATCCAGCAAGATCCACAAAGCTTAACTGCACACGGATCAAAATATTAAGCCCCAAAAAAAATATTCAGACACAATGCTTAATGGATAAATTACGAAAACACCCTGAACTTAAGCTAAATAACGAAAAACACTCCCACCTATTCGAAATTACCAAAAAACCCCAATGATTAACTGTTGATCGAGTTTTTTAACAGAAAATGTGTACAGTCTGTTAAATAGGTGAGAAATAAAAGAAAATATTTGAAATTGTGTAAATTTTATTCCCTCGAATCAACAAAAATCCATGAAAAGTCACAATGTAAGGGGGTTGGTGTAAGACGGAAACAAACCTCAGAGGGGGGTTTTGGTAATTACGAATAGGTGGGGGTGTTTTTTGTTATTTAGCCTAAGTTCAGGGGGGGTTTCGTAATTTACCCATGTTTAATTTTAGTCATCTTGGTAACTCAAAGTGGATTTGCTTCACATATAGACACGTAAAAAATTTCATACCTTTCCTCTGGCAACAGCTTGAGTTTGAAGATTGGTAGTCTCGATAACAATGGAGAGTATCAGATGCGATCTTGAACTTTGTTCATTCATAAGTGTCCCGGTCGTATGCCGTTGTTCGGATCCTCTGTCAATGATATTTCGTAACTCCTCGTATGATGAAATCGACAAGATTGTGACGTTTTCCACAACCACCATTCCCTGTCGTACAATATATAGCACAATTAAATCACAATAATTTTATATTGATAATTGATATGATTTCTATATCGTCCACGATACTTGAAGACAATCAATCACCTTAGAGTCTTTCTTTATGTCCAATTTCAAACGCTTTGCTTGCTTGGGCAGTAGGAGATCGATTAGAGTATCTTGATATAACTCCACCATATACACCTGCATATGTTCATATAAAATTGCTTGGGCAAGACAATCTAAACAGTACAGCTCATAATATCACTTAAGGCCACGTTTGGTTGCCAAGATAAGATTAAATAGTCTAATGAAACCCAATTATATTATTGGACCTAGAAGGTTCAATAAAAAGATAAGCCATGATAACATAATATTTGCGGGGCGATCCGGCAAGTTATTGCAGATACCAAACATCAAACAAAGTCCAATTATTTGGTTAATCATCGCTAATCTCCCCAACTAAACGAGGCCTAAGATTATTAGCTAATGCATAACAAAGTCAATTATCAAACTGGAAGTGCTGAGTAATAATTTGATCTCCTAACAAACAAATCTTATTACCTTCAAAGAAAACGAGAGCTTTTTAGAGTCATGTTTGATAATCCTAAAAACTTCGGAAATAGCACGAGGAGTGAGCCCGGGATTGTTCTCGGATCCGTAAATTGTAAACGTCTTCCCGGAACCAGTTTGTCCGTAAGCAAATATGCAAACGTTGTATCCATCGACGGCAGATTGTACCAAATACTGCATTAAAAGGAAAATGATATTTTAAATAAACAAAAAAACACCATAATTGATTCCAATAATGGAAATTGACTAGATACAATTTCAAAAATTCACTAAATAGATATCGAAGACTTACCCTAGTATCCTCAAAAATATCATCTTGAGTGGCATGGCCATCAAAAACACGATCATACATGTGTTGTTTCATTTTGCCATCTCTCCATGTATGCTCTACTGTGAACTCGTCTACATTTCCCAGTACATTTTTTTCTCTCTCGTGTATTTCTTTCTCACTCAAAGGCCTCAATCGACAATAGACTCGAATCTTCCCTTTCATGTCTAAGAAAAACAAAACAAAAATTCATTCAACAAATAATCGAGACTGCCAAATTTCTGAATTATCTATATATAGCTTAGTCTTTAATGGAGAGTACGCAGGTAAAGAATAAAACTAAATATGTATCAATATTACCTTCTATTATGTTAAAGTATCGTTTTCTCATGACTTGTTCTTCCTTGTAGAGTGCCTCCGTCTCAGCCAATTGAGCTGCTTGCATCTTCAAAATTGCAGCAGTTTGCTCGTTCTTTCTATCAATATCCTGAACAAGAAATTTATACATTAAAAGCTTTTGGACATGTAACTGTACTACAACATATAAGCAAAAGAAAATATTATAAATATATATATATATATATATATATATATATATATATATATATGCATGTACAAAGATTTAACCTCTTTCATTTCTCTGAGCTCCTCCAACTCCCTGAGATTATTTTGCAACACAGACAACTCCGAGTCCTTACTAGCAATAGTCGATTGTGCAACAACCAAACTTTTTGCGGCATCTTCTAATTTTTTTTCAAGTTCAAAAATACGAAACTTCATGATCTTGTTTTCCTGTTCAAACCTTCGCTCGATAATGGAAACCTGCATTCGAAGAATCTCAACAATTCCGAGGTGATATAAGCAATATCATATAGTTGGGTAAAGTAAGAAAACTAAACATTTTTTTACCTCATCGGCATTCTTCCTTTCAAGCCTTGAGAGTCTTTCTTCAAGAGACGTTTTCTCATTTACAAGTTTCCTTTTGGATTCTTCTACAGCATGCAACTCTACAGTGCGTGCTTTTAGTTCATCTTGTATATTACGCAAAACCTATTCGTAACGGTCAAAAATGAACTCGTAAAAATTTTGGAAGACGAAAACTTTAATCAGATACAATCAACCTGTAGAAACTGTAAAGGAAAAAATTAAAATAACATATTTATACCTGGTTATTTGTTTCGACCAACTCTTTCCTAATGTTGTTCTCTAATCCCTGACTATTCAGCTTCGCAAATTTCGCCTCAATGTTTTGTTTCTCCAATAATACAGCCTATAGACAATCAATAATGATATTCAGCTTTGCAGATACCGATGAAAAACGATTGCAGTTTTTATTTTTTTAAAGATTGCAATTACCTGAAGTGTGGTGTCTTTTACGTTGCAGAAATTTCTCAACTGGTCGCGTTCGGAAATGATATTTTCCAAGTATTTTTCCTCAGACCTCATATTGCCTTTCAAACTCTCCAAATCTTCTTTCAATTTCAGTTCTTGCTTTTGCTTTTCATGCAGATCCTCTTGCAACTGAGTAACAAAAGGCAACAACAGTGAGTTGTATAGTTGTGAGTGTGCGTACGAGACTTGCGCTTAGTAGAATCAAACATGAGTGGTCGAAATAAATTTCCAACAAGTGTTTTAAAAATTAGTTATATCTTTTAAAAAAATCATGTACTCACTTGATTTATTTTGTTCTCTGATTCTTCAAGAGATTTCGACAGTTCAAGAACGCGCTTTTCATTGATGTCCATAGTTGGTCGAACAATATCAGAAGCATGTCCACTAACTGAACCATTAGCAGCTGCACGTGCTTTGGAGTATCGGCGTAGCATTACGTCGTTTATATGTGTTTGAAGGGCAACACAAATTTCTTCTCCCTAATTCAAATAATAATAATGTTAACCAACCAATAAGACGAAGAAATATAAGACCGTTATATTTAAATAGAAGGGTAAATTACAACCACCTCCTGAGGTATGGTCAAATTACGAAAAAACCCTGCTGTTTGGATAATTACATCTACCCCTCAACTATGAATCTTTTTACATCTCCACACCCTTATGGTGTCAAATTCAACATAATCATCTAGATTCCGTGGAATGTTCTCTAGTTTGTACTCGTTTTGTGCAAAAATACAGTTTCCGATGCACCACAATCTGATATATACAAGCCAAAAATACATCTTATGATCATCTAACTTCAAAATGTGAGGCTCGAATGGGATAAAACGGGTCGAAAATTGAGAATATTTCATATAATCTAGAAGATTCCACTAAATTTGAAACCTCAAGGGTGGACGTGTAAGAAGATTTATAGTTGAAGGTGGTTGTAATTACCCAAACAAGAGGGTGGTTTTCGTAATTTGACCATACCTCAGGGGTGGTTGTAATTTACCCTAAATAGAATTGTCAATCGTAATCATCTAACCTGCTTCGTTTCAAACTGAAAAATATGCAACACACCAGCAACTCTCATCTTAAAAAACACGGCAGTATTACTGCTCCCAAACTGCATTATATCCCTTAACTCGGCTGAATGCAGATACTCCTTTGGAACCGGGCGGAAGAAATGAACCTTTTGGGAAAACAGAGCAATCACATTTAGACAACTTATATAATACGATTACTATAAATGTCAATGCGGAATTCACAAAATGGCATTTACCCCTCGCTTGTTAATTCCTATAACAATTTTGCCCGGCAGAAGTCCAATGGGATCGTCAATCTTACGAACGGCAAAGAAAACTGAGTTCCCGTAAGGAAGTGTTCTCAAGATCCGCAAGAATTGTTGTCGAGCATCATCTTTTGTCAAATTCTCCTACAGCTCAACAAAATAGCACAAAGCCATTAATTTAATTATCTAGTTATTTAAGATCTTTGTCCAAAGGAACAAATAGAAAACGAGCAAAAAGATAAGGTATTTATTTTTCGATGTCTCTCACCATTGACCGATAACGAGAAAGAACATCCGGTTCCCAGTCTCTCTTGGCTCGAGTAATTGCAATTTGTCGGGGGAGGAATCGTTCCAAAAGTGATGTCCAGTCCCTGTAATATTTATGCAAATACATCCAAGTAAATAAATGAGTGCAAAAGTTCCTATATAACAATTTAATTTAAAGCCAAAAAAATTGCAGATTAAACGCAGAAAAATAAATTTAAATAAGTTAAAGAGCAAGGTAACTAACGTGCATGTTTCAGGAGAAACAACATATCCAATTTCAACGAGAATCTGCAAAGCAGAAAGCTGTGCAGCATCATCCCTTCCAACGGGATAATTTCCTAACACATAATCGTGTTGTAGCTGTAAGAAAGAAAAAAATAATGATGAGAGAGAGAGAGAGAGAAGGAGAGAGAATAGTTATAAGACAAAAAAAGTAACTGACATATAAATACCTGGACATACGACAACTGCAGAAACATCGGGTCTGTAATAGCTTCGTCGGACTCCCTAAATAGCTTCTTTTTGAAAGTGAGTTTACAGTGCAAAATCTCTCCTTTACTTCGGTCCTTTGATGCCTTAAAGTCGGCGAGTAGATCTCCGATATATTTATTATCATCTAAACCAATATACTCCTCTACGGAATGTAACAACACGTTATTAATATATTTGTAGGAAAACTGAAGCAAGTTTCAAGAGATTAAAGAATTAATAACTGTAGCTGAAGGAAGTGTATTTTGATATAATTACCATTTCCAATGTCGGGTGATTTTGAAACAACGACAGCCTTGCGACACTCAAACAAACTGAAGCTAGAGAATGCTGATAATTTTATTATCCCAGCAAGCTCCTGAAGTATTCAGCATCAATGACCCAATAATTAATGAAGTGTTGTATCGAAATTTTATCGAGAATAACGGAACGCGATTTATGCTTGAATTAGAACTACATAATGTTAACAATGTATCTATATGAATACATATGCATATACATCTATACCTATATATATATACAGAATTATATATATATATATATATATATATATATATATATATATATATATATATATATATATATATATATATATATATATATATATATATATATATATATATATATATATATAGTTGGCGTTCGTTTCTTTATCAATAAATAGGGGGATGGACGCTGAAGAAGGTACGCACTCAAAAAAAAAATCAAGATGATGACGACTCCAATTGGAAACTAGCACCAAGCCAAGCCACTCAACCTAAGAAACTATAGATGTACTCTAAACTCACACTGAGTTAACTCACCAACACATACACAGTCAACCAATCAAAGGAACACTCTCACACTCAGTTAAAACCCCGGTTTCCTCTCGCACAAAGTTTCAGTCACTCACAGAAAAAAATTGATAGAAGAAAACAAAGTAAAGTTAACAGTAAAGTGTTACATTTATTCCTCTCTAAGATCAATATAAATAGACACGAAGCCGACGGTCGAAAACAACGTATATATATATATATATATATATATATATATATATATATATATATATATATATATATATATATATATATATATTATATATATTGTAGCTAGAGGACCATTTAGCATGCAACAACTTAAGCATGCAAATTACAGCATGTCACCTGAGTATGCTTTTGAACTTAGGAATCATATTCAGAATGATATTTAATTGACCAAAGGCTATGTTAACAGAGCAACTATTTATACGTAAGTCAGTCGAGTTCTCCTCTTTTTATCATCAGATCAGAAAATTCTCTCGTTTTTTTGATATTTAGTGGATCTCCTTAGATGCACTGCACTAATAAAGTCTCGCATTATTCGAAAACGGTACTTAAATTCTATAAAGAAAGATGCCATGCGACACACTTAATTGCATTTATTCGAACAACTTCCCGGTGACATTGAACAATTGTGAAGATGAAGTAGAGAGAAAACCTAGATTACATGAACATTACAAGAAATCCAGACTTTTATATAGATAGGCCTTGTTTGGTTGGGGAGATTAGTCATGATTAACTAAATAATTGAACTTTATTTGATGTTTGGTACTTTGGTATCCCCAATAACTTGCCGGGTCAACCCGCAAATATTATGTTATCATGGCTTATCTTGCCTTCAAGGCATGTTTTTGTTGGATCTTCTAAGGTTCAATAGTACAATTGGGTTTCATTAGATTATTTAATCTTACCTTGGCAACCAAACGAGACCATAGTAGATAGTAGATAAAAAAAAATAATACAACGACAGTTACAAAGTTAATGACGCATAAGCACATCAAGAAAAATTAAAAAACAGTACCTCGACGGCATCGGCTACAGTTGTCGCCATGTCATACGTAATCTCTTCAAATGTCTCGTCCAAGAAAAACACTATCGTTGTAAGTTTTTTACCGGTCAAAACAGCATCAATCTCCTCGCGCCCGGGTATTATATGCCTTGGTCCGGCCTTACCCGAACGCTTTAATGCATTTAATGTATTCATCGCAAGCGCTTGCACTTCGGAATCATTATTAGGGTTATGTGCCACAGTATGTACATACTCGGACATATATCCACCAATTTCCTTGCTAGGTGGCATGCACGATGCACATAAATACATTAACTCCCACGCTTTAATCAAAGAGTGCCTATTCACAACAAATATCAATAATTAATTACATTGTTGGTTTTGGAATCGACTTTGAAAAGGTAAAAAAATCAATCCGTACATACCTATCGAGATTATTTCTTGTCTGCTTTGAAATTTGCATAAAAAGTTCGTCTCGAAGTTCAGAGCGCTTCAGAGTATGCTTGTATAGTTTGGTAACAAGGTCGATTCGGTCATCTAAGCTGGTTGGAGCAACTCGATCGGAGGAGGAATCAACTCCGATATACTTTAGAATAACTTGAAATAGCTTAACTGCTCTACCGACCAGATCACTGTTTATTTTCAATAACGAAGTTGGGATAGGATCCTGTCAAGAGGTACACTTTTGATTAGAAATTAAAATTAAATTAAATTAAAATGGATAACTAAACATCGCACTCGTAACCTTTTGAAAACACAGCATATCCTCAAAGGTGAACTTCTCTCGAACTTGCATTCCGGCTGTTTTTTTAGAGAAGAAACTACGTTTACCAGCTGAATGAATCTGCTTCTGCATTGCCCTCAAAAATCCCTCCACCTAAAAGTAGAAACAAATCATTTAAAACCCAATGCTCTCTAATAACTCAAAATTAATGGTGTTTCGGTTGCAATTTCTTAAAAACGAAAATCGTAAAATGTCCACCTGGAATTTGTCGATCAATGGTATAGCACCGGCAAGTTCGGGCGGCATAACTGAAGACAGTGTATTAGGCGTGCTAAAAATGCATAATAATTTGTGAGTTAGAAAGAAAAAAAATCGTTTACATTAACTGCCCGTCGAGCCCCAAAAAGAAAGAAAGAACAAAAATTAAAATTAAAATTAACGAAAAAACTCACGGCGGTGCGAAATTGGAACCATCGGAATCGTAATCATCGCCGTTTGAGGTGGCAAAAGAGTTGTGGGAAGGGGTTTCAATCCCATTACTCGACCCGAACGACGACCTACTTGATCTCAAGCTTTGAGCCATATCCGACGTCATTTCCTTACACGAAGCAACAACATCAAAATCCCCAATTCAAAACCCACTCTCTGCAACTAATCTTTTCTTCTTGTTTCTCTACTCTTTCTACCACAATCAATTTGTGGAACTAATTCTGTATCATTAAAAACAATTCTAACATATTTAAATCTCGAAAAAAGAAAATGCAGCCATTAACACAGTAAAGCTAAATTTGATAAAGCCATAAACAGTAAAATATACCATACACAAAATCTCACACATTAAATAAAACTCCAGCAAAGATCAGAAGCGAATAAACCCCAATCCACGAGATCCAGCGCAAATAATTCAAAAAAAAATATATATATATATATATTTACATCATCGAACTTCAATTATTGAAGCTCAGAAGAAACCCAGAATTAATTAACCCCAAAAAAAACATATACTAAAAGCAAATCAGCGTTCAAGAGGCGAAATCAAGTAAATAAAAAGCATAAACAAGAATGTAGAGACAATGTGTAACGGAATCTATGAGCGATTAATACCAAAAGAAGTGAATCGATAATCTGACCAGCTAGAGAGAGATGGAAAATGGAGTAGAGAGAGTGAAGGAGGGAGAAATGAGGTAGTAAGGGGGGGTCACGAGAGTTTTTCTTTTTTTAAATTTTAGCAATTTTATTTATTTCCGATTTAATATTAATCGTTTATTTTTTTTAATTTTAATTTTAAATTAAGGAAAAATGTATTTGTTTTGTGTGTTTGTCTGTTTCTTACAAAATCGTGCCATGATGTTTTAAAGTTTAAACCCCAGCCTCAGCCACCCCGGGGCCCACCCACCCTCTTCCCTAGCAGTATGTATGCACATTTATTTTAATTCAGAGTTTAATCTAAAACAATGATTTTATAATTATATGGAACACGTTGTATACTAATTTTACATATAATGATTATTTACAAATTACAATACACAGACTTTTTTGGCATAAATTTTGTAGGGTTTTTATAAATATAATGTTTACACTTTACTAGCAATTCTCCTTGTACGATGTACATGTAGCATTGCAAAAGAGAAGACAATTTTTTAAATATATAAGTAGCATTGCGAAAGAGAAGAAAATTTAAATATATGATAATTAAATTGTATTTAAAAAAATAAATTACACAATAGAGAAATAATTAATTGTGAAATTTAAATTATCAAAATGGTATCTAATTAAAATAAAATAAATTCACATTGATGTGTGTGTGAGCTTGAGAGATTTTACTTTACTCTCTCGATAGTTAAAATAAAAAAATTTGCATACCATATGTGAAAGAGATAGATTTACAAAGAAATTTAAAAACTTACAAAAAAAAGGAATAAAAAAACTATTCGAGTTGCAATGGAAATTAAAAGAGGCTGGAAAATAAAGGTTTAATTTAGTTTGCATCCTTGAAATATATCATTCTGACATTTTGCACCATCCAAACACAATATATCATGTATAATGCACCCCATGTGATTTTTTAAAGCTAATAAAGGTAATTTAATATTTTTAGTGATATTTAAAAATTATATTTTTTATCATAAAAATAAATATTTTACGAAATAAAATCCTTCAACTATTTCATTATCAAGTTATCTGAAAATCATATTTTCTTTCAAATATGTCTACCCAATATTTCCACCAATTACAATAAAAGATCTACTAATCGAATAATTTAGTGATAAAAGTTTATTTGATTTTATTTTGTGAGAAAATATATTTTTTTCAATTATCTGGTGTGATTTTTATTTTTTTTGCGCTTTGTGCGCTCGAAATTAGGTTGGAGGTTGAAAAAAATAACAATGTCATTTATTATTCTGCACCCCAGAAAAAAAAACCAATTAAAAAATATTTTTTTTATTATTCAATTCAGGGTGTATTGTAAATGTGCAAAGTGCTATTATTATTTTTCAATGATGCAAAGTGACAAAATAGTATATTTCAAGGGTGCAAAGTAGAATTAAGCCGAAAATAAAAGATGAAAAAGTAATAATAATTATTTTTTTAAAACATTATAAACATGTTATTATGGTTTCTTAGATTTAACATCTTATATATAAAAGAAATAAACGTTGGGCAACCCTAAAAAACCCTAATTGTATTTTTCTATAATTATTTATTTTTAATATTTTTATGTACTAATTTTCAACAATTATCAATCTCTTATTTTTCATCTCTTAATATATAAAGATAGAATTTCGATTTGTTAAATCTAAACCTATATATTTGGATTATAAATCTTAATATGTAAAATTTAAAAAAATTAATGTTATATAAAATATGAGTAATATTGCATTATTAAATTTTACTATGTTAATGTACTATATTTTCTTATTATATATTAAATTGATTTTTTTTTTTTTTTTTTGAGTAATATCCCGTGCATCGCACGGGGAAAAATGTTATTCCTTGTATCGCACAAGGAAAAATACTAGTGTTTATAAATTTATTGTATGTGGTGGTGAATTACTATATAAACTCGTGGGAGAACATTTATTGATCTTAACCAAATAAATGTATTTGATGTTAGTACTTGTTTACCATTGTCACTATTAAATGTTTTTAACTAAATATATGTGTATTCTTATTAATACCCCCAAATTAAATATGCGCATAATTTTTTGTGTTCATATTTTGGTGATTTTTTATTTCTGTGCCTACTGTTTACCTTAACAATCTTGTTTCTGAAAATATTATAAGTTCTCCACGTAGAACTTCAGATTTGTTAAATTTATTATAAACAATGAATGACTTCAATTTTGCCAATCCTTCTTTTGAATATATAGGATTGGAAAATTAAAAATATGTTGCATTATTACATGTAATATTATAACAAAATATATATGTTCAAGAAGTTACAAAAAGATATATGATAGGCTTAAATTTTTCAGGGCTTTGGGGCAACATCTGTTAATAAAAATTTCGAGCGTTCAGGGACAAATTTCAATAAGGCAACAACATACAACTGTAATAGCACTGAGAATATGATGCAGTGAAAAGAAAATAAGAGGGTAAATGGGAAACTGAGCGACTTAATATCAGATAATTAATTTGAGTTTTAAATGGGTGTGGCTAATTTAAAAAAGAAAGAAAGTATCGTATAGTGAAAAAAAAAATTGAGAATAGGCTTCAGTCTACTATACTTGGGAATGGACTCACCCCTATGTGCAACATTGCATAGATTTATTGTAAAATAGTCAATCGAAGTTAAAATTATTACTTATATCAATTGAATACTATGAAAATATTGTTTATTACCTCTTAAGTAAAAAAAAATTGATACACATAAAGGATAAAAATTAAATCAGATTATTTGATGCTTGATTCCAAATTGATCATCAAAAGATTTGTTTGAACATAATTTTTATTTTAATAAAAAAAACATAATTATTTTCAGTAAAATGAATATGAAGTTCGGCTCAAACTTGAGTTTAATTAGAAAAAATAAAAACACACACACACACACATTTAGTTAAATTACTCAAGTACGTTCGAGTTCTAATTAATTACTAATCAAATCAAGTTTCAACACAATTGAAAAAATCTTGATGAATATTAAAACGAGCTTGAACAATCATGCATTCGAAACATTTCGGTATGCATTTTATAATAATGTTTTATTTCTTGCATAAAATGAATTTTTTTATTAAGAATAATGGAAATATGGAATATGGAGTAATGACATAGAACCTTGAGTTAGGCATTGTTAGTTGGACGCCACTATTTGACTACCTTACGAGAATTATCAATATATAGGGAACAAATATTCCCCCCAAAAAAGAATAAGAAATAATTGAATTTGAGGATAAAGGCATCCATAGTGACAAAGATGTGAGACAAGTCCTCCATTTCTTGGAAATGGATTTAAATAAAATATAACACATGAAATTTGTGGTTCATATAATTTCCAAATAACAATATTAATTACAGGGGTTTTTGTGATAAAGTCCCCAACCAAGCATGTTTATTATTCTAGGTTTAGGGGCTATATCTCTTTCACCAATAAGCCCATCCCTTTAATATTTATTATAAATAAAGGAAACATTCATGTATATCACAATATTACCCTCAATCCTTTATACCCAATTTTTAATGTGCTCCAATTTCATCCTTAACTTAATTTAACCTCAATTTGACCCCAATTTTTTTTTTTTCCAAATTTTTTTTTTCAGCCGGATTCCGGCGTTGACTTTTCAAAAAAAAAAAAAAAATCTTTCTTTCTTTTGGATTTTTCGCCGGTTTCCGGCGTTGACTTTTTCGTTTTTTTTTCTTTTCTTTTTTCTTCTCTTTTCGTCCGGATTTTTTCGCTGGTTTCCGGCGTTGACTTTTTTTAGAGTTTTTTAAGTTTTTTTTTTTTGTTTGTGTTGTTTGTTTGTTTTTTTTTTACGTCCGTCGCTAAACATTGACCGTAATTGTGCTGTCACTGACAGTAAATTAACGTAATTATATTGTCAATGATAGTTAATTAACGTAATTATACTGCCGTTGACAATACATTTTATGTAATTGTTCTGCCGTTGACAGTAAATTAACGTAATATTATTATTTTTTTTTTTTTTTTTTTTTTTTTTTTTTTTTGATTTGTTGACAAGTCAACGTAATTATATTACTGTCGTTGACAGTAAATTAACTGTAAACACAATAATATTACTGTCAACAACATCAATATTATTATTTTCTTGGGGTTTTTGCTTTGTTTGAATTATTAACGGAGTAACGTAATAATATTACTCTCTATTATTGTAATATTACTGTAAACACAATAATATTACTGTGGTTGACGGTAATATTACTGTTGTTATAGTAATATTGCTGTCAACCACATCAATATTATTATTTCGTTTGTATTTTCTTGTTTGTTTGAGTTATTCACGGAGTAACGTAATAATATTACTGTGGTTGACGGTAATATTATTGTTGTTATAGTAATATTACTGTCACTCACAGTAATTTAACACAATAATATTAATTCTTTTGGCTTTTTATTATGTTTACATTTGTTGAACGGTCAACATAGGAATATTACTCTATTACACAATAATAATGAGTTTTGTTGTGTTAATATTACTGTGCTAGAGATTAATATAGCAATATTACTGTGTTAAACTGTAGTTTAGTTAATTTTACTGTGTTTAACAGTAAGATAGTTAATATTACTGTCAATCACAGCAATATTATTGTGTAAACGAAAAAAAAAAAGTTACAGAAAGAAAGAAAAGAAGAGAGAAAAAAGAAAAATCGAAAAAGTCAACGCCGGAGACCGGCGAAAAAATTCGGAAGAAGAAAAAAAATTTTTTTTTTGAAAAGTCAACGCCGGAATCCGGCGGGAAAAAAAAAGTTTTTGAAAAAATATTTTTTTTTGAAAAAATAAAAGTTTTGGGTCAAAATTGAATAATTTGTGAAATTTGGGGTCAAATTGAGGTTAAATAAAGTTAATGATGAAATTGGAGCATACTAAAGTATGAGGGGTTATTTAAGCCTTTTACAAAAATCTGGACCATGTGTGGACTTATTGGTAAATAAATTTTTTGTCTTGATCTCTTTATAAATAAGTACCCATTGATGGACTTATTTGTAAAGACCCCTTAATTACAAACTCAAAAAAGGATTCGGTTTATAGATTCTTAT